CTCGCATTTAAAGTAGAACGACAACAGAAGCAAGTCAAGTCTCAAAACTCCTTCTGACAACCGTCGACATTCAAACCATCACCTCAAGCCACATCTACCCCCAAGACTATGTCGGAAGTTGGCAAGTCACTACCAAGAAGCACGAAAACCACCCCAAGCAGAACGAAACCCGAAAGGGGAAGTTCCTCCGAAACAATTCCTGCATGAAAATTTTTAGGTGACATGGGTACGACCACATTGCCGCCAATTTGCCCCAATACCCGTGTTGTCTCATTTACTAAAGAAGGTGTCGTCGAGGAAGTCGAGGAAGTCAAGAAAATCAAGAAAGCTCAATCTGAGGATAACTCTGAAGAAGCACTTACCCTTCCCGACGAAGAAGGTGAAATATTGGCTATACAAAGGGTCCTCCAGTTAGAACCCGAAAGAAACCCTTCATGGCCACGACACATCTTTCGTACTACATGCACAATCAAAGGCAAAATCTGCATTTTAATCATTGATAGTAGTAGTTGCAAAAATGTCATATCCACTCGAATGGTCAAGAAGTTAGGCTTAGCCAAATAAAAACATTTGCGATCCTACTTTCTCACCTGGCTCAAAAAGGGAACGAGATCACGTCGATCAACAATGCTTAGTCGAATTCTCCATCGGCAATCAACTACAAGAGTAAGTTTGGTGTAACACAGTTCCAATGAATGTATGTCACAATCTTCTGAGCAATGAAAATTCAACCAAAAAATGCAACATGACGGCTTCAAAACACCTACACATTCAAGAAGGACGTAGAGCACATCATATTATTACCTGTAAAGGATGTGAGGGCCACGATCGACACTGAAGATGCATTAATCTCACGAGTGACCTTCCTGCAATCAATTTGCAACGCAACGATAACTCTAGCTTCGGTCCTCCTAGAAGGTACAGATAAGGATAATGAGATACCCACACAACTTAAACCACTCGTACGCAATTTCCAAGCCGCCATGACTGACGAACTCCCGGACAGATTACCTCCACTACGAGGCATCCAACATGCCATCGATCCCATACCAGGGTCGATTCAATAGACCTGCCTACTGATTGCCATCCCTAAAGTACAAGGAACTCCAACATTAGATACAAGATCTTGTTAAGAAAGGATTAGTACGTGAAAGCACCAGTCCATATGATGTCCCCGCCCTCATCAATCCAAGAAATATGGCCCCAGACAAATGCGCATTAGCAGTCGTGCCATTAATAAAATTATAATAAAATAACGTTTCTCATATCACGCCTCGACGATCTCTTAGATCATTTGTACGGCGAGACCGACTTCGCAAAAATTGATCAACGAAGTGGTTATTATCAGGTTAAAATGTGACTGGGAGAAGAGTTGAAGACCGCCTTTAAGACATGAGATGGCTTTGGACACTCATGTCTTTCAACCTGTCAAATGCGCCCAAAAATTTCATACACCTCATGAATCAAGTCTTTCGATCCCATATTAGAAAATTTGTGGTGGTCTATTTCGATGATATTTTGGTTTATGGTAAATTCGAAGAAGACAACCTGCAACACATTCGGGCGGTAACTTACGATTCAAACAACTGTACGCCCACAACAAAAAGTGTCACTTCTTCACAACTCAAATATGCTTATTGGGTTACATTGTATCTAGCATGAGGATAGAAATGGACCTAACAAAGATCGATGCAATCGTAAGCTAGGCCAAACCACAATCTTTCACCGAGCTTCGATAATTCTTGGTATTGGCCTCCTTCAACCATAGATTTGTTTGCAACTTTATCATTATCACCACCCTCTTACGGAGCTGTTGAAACAAAAAGAATTTACATGGTTGGTCACGGCCCAGACCAGTTCGACATATTAAGGATAAGGTCACTCAAGACCCAATTGTTGCCTTATCCGATTTCAACCAACCATTTAAGGCTGAGTATGACGCTTCCAACATAGGCATTGGCATTGTACTCAATCAAGGTGGTCACCCCATTACCTATTTCAGCAAAAAACTAAAAATAGAGTCGATGAAAATAATCCACCTACGACAAAGAATTTTATGCCATTATTATAGCGCTAAAACACTGGAGTCATTACCTACTCACAGTCGAGTTCACCCTCTTCACAAATCACGAAGCTCTCAAATTTTTGAACAGCCAAAATAAACTTAAATGGTGCCACGCTACCGAGTAGAATTCATAGCGTCCTTCCAGTTCGCACCCAAACACAAAGCCGAAAATCAGACCGAGTCATGAATGTTCTAAGTCGTAGTCACCTCCCGCCACGCTACCGAGCAGAATTCATAGCGTCCTTCCAGTTCGCACTCAAACACAAAGCCGGAAATCAGAACCGAGTCATGAATGTTCTAAGTCGTAGTCACCTCCTGATCACATCCTTGCAGATGCATGTGATAGGCTTTGAAGTTATAAAAGACTTATATGAGACTGATGAAGTCTTCCAAGAAATCTGGGAACAACGTTGGGAGAAATCTCACGGGCAGTTCTACAAAACAAACAACTATTTGTTACACCACAACAAATTATGCATCTTCTGATGCTCACCATGCTAAGTTATCACCCAGAAAACCACAACAGCGGATTGGCCGGTCATTTTGGAAGAGATAAAACTCTCACACTCATGAGAGAACATTTTTTTTGCGCCAACTAACACGAGATGTGGAGCGACACATCCAACAATGCAAGATTTGTCATATCGCCAAGGCACGTGGCCAAAATACAGGATTATACACATTCACTGATACTTGAAGCGCCTTGGGTCGATGTCAGCATGGACTTTGACATAGGACTGTCACGCACGCAAAAGAATAAGAACTCTATTATGGTCGTCACTGATCGTTTCTCAAAGATGGTGCATGTGTTGTCTTCTACAGGACATTAGAGGCATATCATATTGTCAATTTATACTTCCACAAGATCGTTTGGCTTCACAACATTCCGAAGACCGTACTACCGATTGGGACGTTAAATTCTTGGGTCATTTCTGGCGGACCCTCTGAAGCAAATTAGGCACTGAACTCGTTCTGCAACACATCCTCAAATGAATGGGCAGACCAAAGTCGTTAATAGGAGCCTTGGAATCTTCTTCGATGATTTGTTGGGAAAAATAGCAAACAGTGGGATCTAATTCTCGCTGAAGCTGAATTTTCTTACAATAGATCAGCAAGTCAAACCACGGGAAACACGCCATTCAAAGTTGTCTATGGCTGCAACCGGATCACATCCCTTGAATTGGTCCTACTTCTACCCCCAGCAGATATCGGCGAGGATGCTACAAAACGTGTTTACCAAATTCAACAGCTCCACGAGGATGTTGAGAAAGCAATTTTGAAGCCAAGCCACAAATATCAAACGCAAGCAAACAAGTCTAGGGAAAAAAATTATATTTCAAGAAGGCGACCTCGTGTGGATACGACTAAAGAAAGAATGATTTCCTGTACAAGCATACAACAAACTCAAGCCCAAAGTCAATGGAGCTTTCCACATTTTAAAAAAGATGAATGAAAACACATACAAAACTGACTTGTCATGAAACTACAAAATTTCAATAGCATTCAATGTCGTGGATTTCACTCCTTACTACGAGGAACCGGATGCTTCGACAAAAGATGTCAAAGGACCCCCAACCCCAGGGGATTGACGCGGGTTCCTTCTCGCCCGCAGAATTGTTCACGCCCATCGACCAGGCGTGGCAATTGATTCGGTCCAACCTTCCTGCTCGACCTGAACCTGGACCGGTCCTATACCACTTAAAGCTAGCGATTCCGCTAGGCTCCTCTTCCGTGATCAATTCCTTCCTGTGCCCTAGACTTTGGCCACCTCCAAGCCATTGCAGCGCCCCTCTTCATCTCCTACCATCTCTGCCCCTTCTTTTCTCAGATCTTACCATTACTAGCTACTAATCTCCTCTCTATTTATTAATGTTTTTTCTTATGTCCTAATAAGTAGTTGATCTTTTTCTTTTAGGTGTTTCTTCATGGTGTTCCCTCTTCAAGGGTTGTACCCTTTGGCAAATGGTGCTACGGCTGTGTCTCACCTTAGGGGGGGTGTATCTTCGCTCTATCTCCTCCTCCCAACGTCACCCTTCCACCTTGCAGATCACCCGACCACTAGCTCCTTCCAGCGGCACAAACAAGCCACCTCTCCTTCCAGGTCGCCAAATCCCTTCCTAGCGCCACCTCCAGCAAGCCACAGGGTACCTCTCATCGTCCAACAATGCTTTATGTTCTTGCTGAAAATTGTTACCAGTATTATTCATCTTTAGTTAATATAATAGATATTATACGCACACATAGCATGCACATAGGATAAATAAGTCAATTGTTTTAGCTAATAAAAGCATCACCCATGTTTAAGCTCTGCGTATAGAATCAAAGAAAAAAAAAATTCAATGCTTGGCATTGCGTTTTGCATTAAGCATTGAAAATATTGGTCCTAACAGAACATGCTAGCCTTTCTAGCAATAGGCTTTGGCATAGAAAACTGTTGTCACAAGTCAACTAAGTGAACCTGTCCATTAATGATCTCCATTCTTTCATTATTGGTTAATAAATAATGAAATTAACATTTCTTTGTAAAACATTTAAAATTACTCTTGAAAGTTATTTATTATAAAAGTAGAAGCTTAAGGAAAACATAAGCAAGATGACTTGGTCACCAAACAAGAAATAAAAAGAGCATAATAACAATAGATATTTTACCATTACAAACAAAGCGAGGATTCAACAAGTCTCAGATTAAGGGGAAAATTTTGCGTACATAACAAGTACGCAGGGTGCGTACATTTCGGTTATAGGAAGATTACAAAGAGGATATATAGAGGTTACATTTGTGTTATACCCATGTTACCACCATATAACCTCCCTATAACCCCCAAATGTACGCAGTCCTGCGAACTTATTACGTACGCAATTTTTTCCCCAAATTCAGGTAGAAGATTTAAAATACGCTGAATTAACACACCAGTAAACTTGCATCCATACTAACCAGCTGTTTTCCTCTATCCTGTCGATCAAAGGCAGACTCTACAACATGCTTTACCACTGGAGATGAACTTGTCAGCAGCAGGAAAATAGCTCCATCAGTAGCTATGGATAACCAGAAATATTAAATGAATCAGAACTCCTCCACAGCTAAATGAATCATAGAACACAACGGACAAAAAACTACGGTATATGTATCCAAAATGGAAGCACATTTATCAAACAGCCTGGATTTTAAACAGATATCTGATTTTTTTTCAGCGCCTGGAGTCAAATCAAAAGGACTAATTAATCCAGCGATAAAAGAGCCAATTTTTGCAAGGACTAAAAAGTTTTGAGGGCCCAAATAACAAAATTTCTAAAATCGTTGTTGCTTCTGAAGTCAACATTTTTATTTATTGCTTGTCACTACATAACTGTTTATGACTTTTTATTATTTATAATCATGCAAAGTACAATGCAGGAGTGAAACGTGGCTGAAAAATGCCCTGGAAGCAAGTTAACATTTTAGTAAGATGAAGCAGTTATGAGCATCAGGGCATATGCTTGTTAATTGGACTAATGTTCATTTCTTCGAAGGCTTCCTTCGGTGAAGATATTCTGAGAGATCAATTTCTATAACTGTCCAACAGAAAAATAAAAATTTCCTGCCATTTTCATCAGCATACTACCGCAAGGAAAGTACTAATTTTCAGTTTGTTCTCACCAATAAAAAAAATATATATATTTGACGAGTCAAGTTTTCCTTCAAACAGGCATACAAATTTGATGTTACACGCATAAATATGATTATGCATAACTTGGTAATTAAAACACTAGCATCAAATCTTTTGCAAAGATTGTGCCATGATTGATGGGCCAGTAGAATTGTTAATAAGGGGGTTTTTAAAAATTGAACAGATTTTACAAAAGTCAGAACTTAACAGACTCAATAGCAAGTGATATATTGAGTGAAAAGGCTGATGGATTCAAAAAGAGCATGCTTAGAGAAGGGAGTTGCTAAACAATACATGAGCACCCCAACTGAAGTTCTTTGTGCGAGCTAATTCCTTCCAACTGAAGTTCTTTGTGCAAGCTAATTAAATACTCAATAACATCCTATTTAAGCACCCTTATCGAGAAGTGAAGTGTGGCACAAGACATTATCAATAGCAGTATAAGCGTAGGGTACAAGGAACAGCGCATGCCTGTTGACAATATCCCAAGGTCATAAGCTTCAACTTATTGTAAAGGGTGTTGATTTTCCAATTCTAAATGGACTTTTCAAAGATCTACCAGCATACATGAGATGGGACATGATAGGAGCGAACGACTGAAGGGATGCAAGCGAATGAAGCAAGCTGTGCGAGATTGCATGATTCAGCGATCCCGTCTATGTGGGAATCACGAAATTTCACGATTCACGCGATTGCAGGAGAGTACCACCACATATTTCCATCACAATTCAGATTCTGCACGAATTTCTATTTCCTTCTCCGATTTTCTTTCTATTTCCTTATTTCTAGTTAGGGTTTCTTTTAGACATGAGACTATTTATATAATGCAATTTTCAATTTCTTCAAACTTCTGATTTGAGTTAGTGTTTTGGACTTGTTTCTTCTAGCTCTACCTCATTTTCCTTTTGTAAGTAGTGTGTCTGTAGCTTATGCATGAAAAAGGTAATGAAGCTCCTCACCACCTTAATATCGCCAAATCAGAGTTTTCTCCGCTATTTTCAGCCTGGAAACGCTGATCAACGTCTATCTCTGTCCAAACACCGTCAAACTCCCATATTTTCATTCAACCACCATTCCATAATCACCTCCCCACTAAATCCGCTATCCAAATACTTTATAGAGACATTAGATCGATATCATTTTGTATAAGAGTTAGCCCGACCCCACTTCCATCCTACAGTGAACTAAATCTATCAAACCAAAATTTCAAATAACCTAACCTAACATACTAAAAAATAATAATAAATTTAAAAAAAAATCAAAATCATTCATATCTCAATTCCTAGCCCAAAACCTAAGCTTTCAATATCAAACTTTTTCCACCACCAAAATGTCACCCCAACACTTTCCATCAAAACCTAAGCTTTCACCTTTTACTTTTATGTCAAATTCGATTGGAAGAACAAGATATGCCGCCAAGGAGAAACCTTCAACGAGACGTTCAGAAAACCATCACGGAGGACGTGCAGCAGAAAATCCTCCCCTAAACTCCCGACCAAGCTTTCACCTTTTACTTTTATGTCAAATTCAATTGGAAGAACAAGATATCCCGCCAAGGAGAAACCTTCAACGAGACGTTCAAAAAACCATCACGGAGGACGTGCAGCAGAAAATCCTCCAAATGTAATAGAGGCTTGCCACCTTCGAAAGGAGATTATTCATAGAGATCACCCGTAGCCACAAAAGTGAACTGTATTATTCATAGAGATCACCCGTAGCCACAACAGTGACTTGTCAGATCGAAGGATGAAGTGAATCCTTCCCACCAGCCAGTTTTTAGTGACGAAGAACCACTATCTCGAAGATTTGGCATGGGATATTAGAAGAAAATTTTG